GTGCATGTAATAAAAACTTGGCACAGCTCGTGCAACAGCCAGGACCGAAGACAACCTGTCCTCCTACCTCTCCCTGTCTTTCCCTTGAGCACACAGCTCGAGCAGGGTGCCTGGGCCCAAGCCCTGCAGCTCCGGGCCTGGCTCTGCCCCAGCTCTGCAGACTGCTTTGAAGACACCTGCCCGCAATCACCATCCGATGTCTGCAGCTTGGATTTTTCTTTCATATTGCCAGGGCGTCATCCATCATCCATGATGATACCTCTACACAGGGCACCCACACAGCACCCAGGGCACTTTGTACTAGAGGGTAGGGGTGAGTGGCAGAAAAAGAAAGGGATTTTTATCCAGTGGCTTAGGAAGGGTTTCTGATGCGGCTCTCCTATGACTTTGAATGTTTTAGACCAGGATTTAAGCTGAGGGGTGCATGCCCCTCACTCAGTGGCAGAATTTGGAAGCTGCCATGAATGTGTCAGAGCAAAGCCTTTCTTCTGAGAAACACAAGTAGAAATATGGCACAGCAAAGCCATAAAGCACCCCAGAGCAGCAAGCTCGTAGATGAAGACGCAGACACCCACACAGCTCAGCCTGGCAAGCTCCCAGGGAGTCGGGGGAGAAGGGGGCCCAGCAGTCCCTGGATTGTGCTGAACCCCTCAGCAGCTTTTCACCCGCAGCTGGACTATGTTAGCCCAAGCCACTGTCCGCTGATTCCTTCATCACCAGGCTATCTCCAGTGAGGCATAAATGCTGGCCCGAACCTTTATTTTTTTCCCAGAAAATCCAGTGCCATCACCTGCAGCTCACTGCTCTTTCCAACTCAGTTTTGTCTGCTAGGGAAAGCTTACATGGGTAAACTCTGTGCACGTGCTGGCAGCATGCTAACTGCTTTATTGCAGCTATAGATCTGCAGAAGCAACTTCTTGCCATTATACAGAGTGTGTGCTTCCAGGAACAGGCAACGAGAGCGAGGAGAACAGCCCTCCATGCAGCCATCAGTGTCTCGTATGCTTTCTAGAAGGGGAAGCGACAACCTTTATTCCTTAAACTTCCCCAGAGGGAGCATTTCAAAGCATCAAAAGGATTTAAACCTGTCCGGCTGCTGCTGAGGCATAATTAACAGTTGCACAGTCAGCTCCAGCTGCAGCTGACAAAGCCTTAGCAGCAATTCTCTATTTATCACACTCCTGGAGTATTTATAGATCCACAGCAAGGCAGGGGGGAGAGAGAGAAGGAGAATAACTGGTGAGCTACTCACCAGGAGGGGTAACATTTGCTTTCAGCTGCACGGCATTTCCTCTGCACCTGGTGAAGCCTTAGGGGACAGGCATGCGAGATGCCCTGGGGTGCAGCCTGTTGGCAGCGGGACGCAGCGGCGGCTCCTCTTGGGTGGGAGATGCGGTGGGTCAGCCCCCAGCTGGGATGTTGAGGCCCTTTGGCAAATGGGGAGACTCGGGCTGTTGCAGTTGGGTGCTGGGGGCAGACGAGCGCCCTGTGCCCTCGCCAGGAGCCGGGAATTGGCCCACAGTTGTTGTGGTCCCTTCCTGCTCACATCTGCCTCCGCCAGGAGATGGAGGTGGTGAGAGGCCAGCCTGATCTCCCATGACACTAATCATAAGCAGACCTTGGACTGTGTCATTTGTCCTTCCTCGTCTCTCCTCTGTCATTTACAAGCCAGGGACTCTTCATAGGACCTAATATGAAAATAGCAATTATCCTCGAGCTACCTTGGCGATCTGTGGAGAACAGAGGAACACTGGGTCACTGGGACGTTTGACTTGTGGGTTGGAAGGCAGTGCTGGAGCTGATGGGCTGGGAGATCTGGGCAAGCAGCCCGTCCAAGGACTGCCGGCGAGATCCCAGCTGCTCAGGGCTGCAGAGGAGAGGGAAAGAGGTTGCCACCTTGGTTCTCCTTTGCAAGGGAAGGCATCCCATAAAAACTGCTGGGTATCTCTTTGGCACTTTCACAGCTCTCCCAGCTCTGAGCAGAAACTGCTTACATACACAGCCATTTCCCATTGCAGAGGGCTGTGGGAACCACCGCTCTGGCAGTAATCTCATCTGCGCTATCTTGCACCAGGCTGTGCCTGGGAATTATCAGCACTGGTTTTATTTCCTGCTGTGGCTTTATGACCCCTCTGAGATCATAAATACATCTAAAGTCTAACTAAAACAATTTAATTTTCTCCATAAACTGTCTTATAAAGAAAATTATGGCAATGCTATTCCAAAGGGGAAGGAAGGTCATAATACTTGCAGGTAACAAGACTTTTCTTCTCTACTGGCTTGCTGTTCAGACACAAAACTGCCCTATTACTCACTGCTCCATGGCTGATGCAACCTCCCTGGGGAGTTGCCTCATGCTGCGATGGCCTGCAAGGACCCTTGGAGAGAGGTGCTGCAGCTCCTGCGAGCTGCACCCCGCTCGCACGTGCACCCGGGGCATGCTGAGCACGCCTGTCCATCCAGCCCTGCAAGGCTTGTACTGGCCTCTTCAGTCAATTTAGCTTCATCTGACACTCACAACCTTGCTCTAAGGACCTGCAAGCAGCTGGGCGTACCATGCTCTTCAGTCCATTTGAAACTTTTGCCCACAAGAAGACATTTTCCTGAGCAGAGCCAGTAGGATTCCTTTTCCATGCACTTTATTTACAACAGTCTCCTGTCCCTGGGCTCCCGAGTGGCTGCCAAAGGTTGAGTTCCCTTCAGTGGGATATCTTTGGTGCTGCGTTTCTTGGATGAGGCCAGGGGAATAGTCACATTAAATATGCAACATAGAAGGTGTTTTTACAGATGGAGTTCACGGAAGAAAAGCTATTCTGGTACCTGGCAACGCTGCAGAGCCTTCATGGCTTAGAGCAAGGCCGCCCCGGGACGCAGAAGCAGAGCCAGCAGGATGCCGCCTGGCCCAGCCCAGCAGAAAGGACAGGTCCCCGTGTCCGCTTCAGAGCCGAGGCTCCCTATTCCGGCAGTGCTGCAGCGTGAGGCAGCCTGGCCCCACTGCCACAAGCGACAGCACTGCGTCCCCAGCTGCAGCCAGGATGCGGCCACGCATGTGGAAGGTGGCACAGATTCTGCCAAACAGTGGGAGAACTGTGGCCATTGCAAGCTGTGGCACAGGTGTTCCCGATTTACAGTTTATGAAGAGCAGCTGGTGATCTCAGATACCTTTTTGGAGGAGGAAATCTGTAATTTCAGCCATGGAAGTCACGCAAACCCCAGTCTGTAAATAACAGCAGGGGAAAGCGCCTCTCCCCTCCTGCAGCAGACTGTCCCGAGCCACGCACAGGGCCTGAGCGAGAACCGTCAGCTGAACAAACTCCCAGTAGTTTTCTGAAACTTCTTTGTTTGTTTTTAAGGGAAGTGCTTTGCTGTTGCGGGGTTTGTTGCTGTCATTTGAGGGGCTGTTAAACTCTGTGTGGTAGGGTGTTTGGAAAATAAATGAGCCTCTGCAATCCATTTCCCGCATTGACTCAGAGTGGCTGTGGGGGAAGGGAAGGGCAGTCCAAAATGAAGGTGGCAAAGGTGAATATACATTAGTGAGTGAAGGAGTGAGCGGAACTGGTGGTTCTCATCCCTGGTGCAATCAGGCCGTAGCCCCCACCGCTGCACGTCTCGTGACGTGACCACTCAAGGGTGAGCGGCCTTGCTGTCTGGCACCCACAGATGCCTTGGGGTGTGCATTTCTCCACAATGCAGTTTTCAAGGGACTGCACCACAAGGGAGGATGCTGGCATCCTCTCTTTCGCTAGTTATTCTGCATTGGGCCAGTATAGGGGCACTGGAGTTGCATGCAGAAGGAAACCCCACATAACAAACTCCAGGTCCATTTGTGAACCTTCCTGGTGGGTCCGAGCCGGCTGCAGCCCCTTTCCCGTCTGGGGGTGCACACCTCGAGCTGCACAGCCAAGAGGCACAGCACAGGGACCTGCTGACCTTCACGCCTGGCCTCGGAGGCTGGGGCTGTGCCTCCCCGTGGGGCGGGGGAAGCATCAGCAGGGCTCCTGGGAGAAGCAGATGCCAGACCTTGCCTACAGCTCCTCTCTCCTTTGCCTCAAGTGTCCCACCTCGACCCTCCCTCTCCCCCAAAAGCAATCAGAGGGTGGTTAATGCCAGGGTGCCACAGGGAATGGGATTTTCAGGCATAAAGCTTGGGTCACTCACAGACCTCTGGGAATAAACCCCTGCGAAGCCTCCTCCTGTGACTGCCGTTGCAGCAGAGCGGTGCCTGTTGCTGCCCCACGGACCGCGGGGGCAGCTGTAACACAAGGACGGGGCTGTCCCGTGCTGCGGGCCCTTACAGCCAGCGCAGGGCCCAAGCCACTTCCAACGTCCCCCGGTCAGCGAGGGCCGTGGCTCCAGCCCCGGGCGGCCGCGCCGCCCCGCCCGCTGTTGCCCATCCCGGCAGTCGCTCGGTCTCCTGAGGGCGGGAGAGCACCCAGGGGCTCCCCAGCCTCAGCAGAGGGTGCCCCGCTCGGCCGACGGCACCCTCCGGCCCAGCCCCGACCCAGCCAGCCCTGCCCGGGGCGGGGGG